AGCAGCGGCCACTGCAGCACCGCAGGCGGCAAGCATCTGCCCACCCAACGCGGCAGCCTTCGCCTCCATGGCCGCCGACGACTTCCCCATCCCAGCCCGCATCGATGCGATTCTCGCTGGCGTCACAGCCAGCGTCAACTGGTTCGAGGCCGACGAGGGCGACGCGTCCGAGCCCGACGACACCTACGGTCAGTGCGAGACCGAAGAAGACACCGCGAGCAGCACCAGGACCACTCCTACCAGGAGGACTCCGACGGTTACCACCATAAGTACGGCGGCAGCGCGAGGCAGCCAGCCAGACGTAAGATCTCGTTCGACCTGCGCGACAACGGCGACGGGAAAGAGACCAGCAGCCCCAGGATCACTCCCGCGAGGACTCCGACGGTTGCTACCACAACAGCGCCTACGACGAGGTGAAAGAGGACGAGTTCGGCGATCGCCTGGACTTCGTCCTCTGAGCGGCCACGCTCCGTTGTGAACATGGGGCCAATACCTGAAGGACCTGAAGGAAGAGGAGAAGGAAGAGGAGAAGGAGGAGGAGACACGGAGGATGAAAAGGAGGAGGAGGACGGAGGGAGAGGAGGAGGAGGACGGAGGGAGAGGAGAAGGAGGAGGAGGAGGAGGAGGAGGAGGAGGAGGAGGAGGAGGAGGAGGGGGAGGAGGAGGAGGAGGAGGAGGAGGAGGACGGAGGAGGATGCACAGACCTCAGCGCCCCCCACAGCCGCGTGCGCGGGAGTGGGAGGTCCCCTTCAGAGAAGAGGGCAGCGACAGCAGGCCAGCGCCCGCCGCGGCGCGACCGGACCCCGCCCAGCCAAAGGGCCGCACGAGGTCACACTTCTCCCGCCGCTGGCCGGGGAAGTGGTGGAATGCGGCATGGGGGAGGGCCCGCTCGCCATCGCTCGGACGTGCATTCCATGTGTTTTTTGTTCGGTCTCGTGCGTGGCTTCTTCGCCAAAGGATCAAGGATGCTCCTCGATGGCCCTCGCCGAAGGAAAAATGCACACGTCCGAGCGTTGCCAGGGGGGGGGGCGGCCGACGACGACGACCGACGGCGGCGGGGGCCCAAGACGAAAATTTAAAGATCAGAGGGTGGCCCCGTCGAGGATCCAGCGCCTGGCCCCCCTCCAGGGGCGGGGCCGACGCAGCAAGCTCGCTCTCCGGCACGGCGCGGGGCGGGGCCGCTCTTCGGCTGCGCCCCCAGCGCAAGGCGCCTGATCGCCGTGCGCTGACGGGCCAACGCCGGCGGCGCGACAGAGAAGCCGACGCACACCGTGGCCAACCTGCGCGTGCGTGCCGAGCGAGCCGTGTGCCCCCCCCACAGCGACGGCAGCGGTACACACTGCCGCAGCAAAGGACGGCGTGGCCCAGCTGGGTGAAGGGCTGGGGCCCAGAGCTCTGCGCAGCAGCACCGTCGTTCCCACTCCCAGGCGGTGGGGGGGCCTCCTGGTGCTCTGGTCTGCTGCCGGCTCGGCCAGCACCTGCTCGGCGAGCTCCTTGAGGGCTCCGAACTTCGCGCTGCGCGCTCCGCGAAGCGCGAACAACTTCGCGCTCTCGCGCCGCCCCCCAGAGGGAGAGCATGAGGACAAGGAGGAGGGGGGGGGAAGGAACGAGGACCGCGAAGCGCCGATGACTTCGCGCCCGCGTGGGAGCCCTTGATCCAGGGCAGCCGCCACCGCCTCGGAGCGAACGGCCACGAACGGCCGAGCCTCGGGCCCGCGGAGCCAGGCGTCGCACGCGTGCTGCCGGAGCCGAGTGGGCTCGCAAAACGCCTGCTGCCCCTGCGTGTAAGAAGTGCTCTCAGGGAAGTGGCGTACTTGGCCTGTCCGCCACGCCAACGGTAACGCCGTTCATCACGCAGCGAGGAGTGCCATGTCTCCTGGCTGGTGACGGTGATGGGAGGAGGAGCGGGAGCCGTCAGCAGCCGAGGGGGCGAGGAACGGTCCATCACCGTTCACCTGGAGTTCGCAAGCAGCCGCTGGGCCGCCCATCCGAGACATCGAAGCGTGCTACTGTGATGCCGAAGTTCGCCCTGGATAGATTTCGCAATGCCTTCGGACACGGAGTGGGACCCAGCACCAAGCCTGGCGGGAAAAATCTGGCCCAGAGGTTCACAGCTCACGTTTTGACACAAAGCCTCCGTTCCACAACCTCGTCCAAACTTAAGTGGGCTGGACACCAGACAAAATGTGGTGGCTCAGGGACGTGAAGTTGGAAGATGGACCTCCAGGTGGCGGCGTGCTTGGCCGTGCTAAGCGCCTGCTCTGGGTCCCAGGTGTTGCCTTTCCTGACCACAGCCTGGTGATCAGAGGTTAGTCGACGGTGGCTGGCACACGCGTGTAATGCTTGACGGACGGCCCAGCGCTCTGCTCTCCCGATCGTCTGGTTGGGGCCTGGAAGAGTTCCATACTTGGCCCTGATGGGAAGCAAGGCGTCGTTCATCGGAACGACGCCCCACCCGGCCCTGGCGAGCTCGGGGGTTGAGCGCTGGAAGCACCTGTCA